AAGGAAAGAAAGAAAGAAAGAAAGAAAGAAAGAAAGAAAGAAAGAAAGAAAGAAAGAAAGAAAGAAAGAAAGAAAGAAAGAAAGAAAGAAAGAAAGAAAGAAAGAAAGATCTGAGTCAATCATGGATGGACAGAGGACATGTCTAGTTTGAGGAAAAGAAGGATAGGGCGGACATGATAGCAGTCTTCCAATATCTCAGGGTTTGCCACAAAGAAGAGATGTAAAAAAGAGGTTGAGACTCTAGAAAGAGTGAAGAGAAGAGCAACCAGGATGATTTTAGGGGACTGGAGGCTAAAACATGCGATGAACGGTTGCAGGAACTGGGCCTGGCTAGTCTAGGGAAGAGAAGGACCAGGGGAGACAGGAGAGCAGCCTTCCAATATTTGAGGGGCTGCCACAGACAAGGGAGGCGGCGGGGGTGTCAAACTATTTTCCAAAGCACCAGCTTGCCACAAGAAAGTTGTGGATGTTCCATTTTTAAGAAGCGACCGGACAACCCTTTGTGCTGAATGGTAGAGGGTTTCTGTCAGAGCCTTTGCAGCTACTATTGCGAGACAACCCAGGAGCAAAACACAGCATACAGAGATTTTTGACATTTTAACCGTGGTTTATCTACAAGACATTTGTCTACAGACATGTATGTGGTAGACCAATACCTGGCAAGCAATCAATCTTCTTAACTCTGCACAGAGAACTCTACAATGGAGACAGGAGACAAGGAGAAAGAATACGCCCTCTAATGGCTGCCTTATATAAACACCTCTTAAAGTGGTAAAACTTCTGCGGGCCCATTCTTTTGTCTTCAAATGGCTATACCCATGCTGATTCCTCCTTATTGCATCAGCCTTACAGCAGCTGATCAACTCTTAAGTCTCAATACCTTAACAGTTTCCTGCCTGAGCAAGGGGGTTGGACTAGAAGACCTCCAGGGTATCTTCCCAGGGTACTGTTGTTGTGTTGTGGTGAAGCTGGCCTCTGATACAATGGATTCTGGGGCAGAATGAACCAGAGGAGGTTCCAAAGGAAACCCCGCCCCACCGGTCCTGGCTTAACCTCACCTGGTCTCCTTCCTCCTTGAAAGTTATCTTAGTTCCGGGCTTCCAACCAGGTTGAACGTCGATCGTTAGGATCTTGTCTTTAATGGTGGACGCGTGGCCGTCTTCATTCATCACCTGAGGGTTTGGAAAAAGATGGGGCGGGGGTATACCGTTTTACACCCAGGTAACCCCTCACTTAGCGACAAGGCCACACAAGGCAGGGGTGACGACACTGGGAGTCCTCGACTTAATGACCCCGACTCAGCCAAACCTTTCTGTGGCGAAGCAAGTCCTGCCCCATTTTTTGGGGCGACTTTTCTCGCCATTTTTGGGGAAAACGAATCCCTGCGGTTGTTCTTAGCTTAACACCGGGGTCATTAAGTGAATCCGGCATCCCCCCGTCGCATTCGTTTGTGTTTGGAGACTCTTTTGTGTTTGGAATATTTCTTGGCAACTTTATCTGGTGTTCTTGGCAGCCTTGCACCACCTTGGCAAGGCTCGTCCTTATCAGAGACAATGAGTTTGAAAGAGCCTTTGAACCGGGAAGGAACGGAATTCGCAGAGAAGCCTTAGAAGGTTTTGCTTTTATCTCTGTTTGATGTTGGTTTCCTTGGAACCAGGTTTGGGTCAGAACCACCCATTCCTTACCCTCCGTGAGATCTTGATTTTCTTGGTGCACCCGAAAAACAGGTCTTCAAGGGACAGGTACAGATCCCTCTCTATCGGGGGGTCCTGCTTCTTCACCCCACGGCCACGGAGACCCCCGAAAGCCATGTTGACCTCGGCCCCTTCGGCGGTGTAGAATTCTAAAGCATATTTGAAAAGAGATGGCGTCGGCATTGGTTGCGCTAGTGTTTCCCCCACCTGCACCCCTCCAACCTGGCCATTTTCAGATGGGTGGACTTCTGAGGAATCCTGGGAGTTGAAGTCCGTGCATCTTAAAAGGAAGGCACCGAGCTGCCTTCATGCTTGTCTTCCAGACTTCCCATAGATATTGTGATGACACAAAATATAACAAAGTCACCGAAGTAGAATAAATTCCCTTTAATGCCTCCAACTTGGGCCCCAATGTCCCGTTATCCTTGACTGGAGATCAAACTCTTCCAAAAACAGTCTACGAAGGGAAGAAATGCAGCCCGAACCCAAAGTAAAGATAATTAGAAATTTAAAAAAACCTAACACCAACCACACTGAAGTCATTAACACAACAGGCCCGGATAATAAATTGCAGACTTCCACAAGATAAGGCAGCACCCACAGTTGGGAGGAAGCCAAAACCCAGATAAGCCTCGACCAGGATAATGCACGCTTTGCTTCCAGCAAGGAGCTATGTGCAAACGCCCCTCTTATATCCTGTTCTCCCAGCTGCAACTAATGAAAGGGATCAGGGCCTTTTCCTCTCCCGTAAGCCATGTTGCTCCCTTTTTGTTCCTCCCTGCGTAGCCTAGGTTGCAGAGGGGGTGGCCCTGGGTCTTCCGCTGAAGGCCCAGCCGGCCTGTGCCCTCCCCCCATTTCTTCCACAGCCATGGGAGCCACACTCCCATGTCATTTTCACCCTCCCCGGGCTCCGGAGGGTAGGATTTGCCAGTTCACCGAACTGGTCGTTAAAAATGATAAAATTAGCTACCGGTTCATGAACCGGTAGCTAATTTTATCAGTTTTAATGACTGGTTCACCTGTTGGCAGTCCACCCCTGCCAACAGGTGAACAGGTAGGTTGTCGGTATGTCAACTCCTAAAATATTTCTACTGTCTTTTTTTAGAGTTGCCAACAGAAAGGGAGAGTGGAGCAGCACGGCAGTTTGCAAACCAAAAGTGCATTCCATAAATGTTTTCAAAGCTAGTAACTAGGTAAGTGAAGTTTCTGCCGTGCAAAATTCTAACTGGAGAGCATGATGGATGACTCTGGGCTATGGAGGTGTCCCATTGGAGAATATGAATTACGATACACCCAGAGGATAGGAGGAAAACCAGGGTCAAGGGTGACAATGAATGATGTGTCTCAGAGTCGGCTGCACTCAGGCAGTGCCGGACATGTTAACTCCCAATAAATCCTTTGGAAGTTTTGGAAGTTTGGCTCAAGACTCAGAATTAAACGGGGGGGGGGGGGGGAGCTGCCGGGGATCCCGACATGGTACCTACCCGCGAAGGGGTTGTCTCCTCCGAAGAATTCCCGGAAGACTTTCTCAGGGTTTCCATGAAAGACATAGCCTTCCGTCCAGGGGGTGTCGATGCCAAACTCCAGGGGGATTCCTCCCTTCAGACCCTCCTCCGCAAACTTATCGTACACGGCTTTCTTCACCGCTAAAGGGCACCAAGAGGGAAAAACATTGTTCGGAGTTTTGCCGCGTTCATTCAGCGCCAGAAAAATAAACACGGATGACTGAGGCTTCATTTAACTTCTTTATAAACATATGAAGTAAACTTTACAATACCAGTGGTAGATTTCTCCAACAGGAAGCGAACTCAAGACAGAAACGCGCTGCAAGCGCAGAGCAGAAACTCAACTCAGGAGCTCAGAAACAGACATCAGTTTCATTTTAGTTTCATCTTCAATAGACAGACTCAGAGCTTCAACATAGCTTTAGAGCTCCAGAGTTCAATATAGCTGTAGAGCTTAATACAGAGCAGTGGTGGCTAACATTTTTGGGATCCTAGGCCTAAAATTGTGTACGCGCTCGTGCGCGTGCACTTACATGCCAGCACCCAGAAGGCAATCCCCCCCCCGCCCTCTGCGCTTGTGTGCGCAATCCTCCCCTGCCATCCCCTTACCTGCACTACGCCTCACAGCTGATTTTTGGCCGATTTGAAATGCCGTTTAAACTAAAAATACCTATAAATTATAAATAACAAAAACAACACAAACCGCACTGAAGCAGTTAAGGGAACCAGGCAAGATAAGGGCTTGAAGACGTCCACAGGTATCGGAACACACACTGGGAGGGACGACAAACTCAGAGAGGAACCATAAACTAGAGATATTTCCACGCTTTGTTTCCAGTACTGGCCCATACGCATGTCCGTCCTTTTAACCAGATCTCACAGCTGCAGCCCATGAAGGGGATCAAGGCCCTTTCCTCCCCCGTAGACCACGCCATTCATGTTTTTCCCTTATCCTCTCCTCCCTGCGTGCCTTAGAATGGAGAGGGGATGGGCCTGGGTCCTCCTCTGACTGCCCAGCTGGCCTCTGCCCTTCCCCAGTTTCCTCCATAACCTCCAGAGCCTCACTTCCACTCCCTGTCAGCTGTTCCTCCTCTCCCTCAGAGTCAGACTCCAACTGGGGCATGACAGCGTTAAGATTTGCTTAACGACCGCTTGACTAAGAACTTAAGAACTGCAGCGGTTCACTTAACAACTGGTCGTAAAATTTAGGGCAACATTCGGTTAAGAACTGCCCGGCTCAGCAACAGAAATCTGGGGGTCTGTTTTGGTCGTATGTCGAGGAATTCCTGTAGTAGAGCTTGCAGGAAAGAAAGGAGGAAGGTTGCCAAGGTCTTTTTTTTTTTTTAACTTGTACACAAATTGTTTTATCTCTGTTGTGGTGTTCAGATTGCTTTTCTTCTTCTACACCAGAAAAGAGACTTTGTCCATCGAAATGGGTGGACTTCAACTCCCAGAGTTCCCCAACCAGGCACCCATCTTAAAGAGGCCAAAATTGAGAAACACTGATCTAAATTGGCCCAAAGACGCCTTTTTTCCCCCAAGAGGCAACTGGACTTTCTTCTTCTTATTATTATTCTTTGAAGACGTTTCACTTCTCCTCCAAGAAGCTTCTTCGGCTCTGACTGGACGGTGGGGAAGGGAAGGATTGATACTCCTTGCAGGCAGCCGGTCATTTGCATCCTTTGAGAGGGTCCTTGAGGCCACTTGGAGGTTTACCTGTGTCCTCAGGGTCACCTGAAAGGAGTGTGTTGTGGAGCTCTGCTTTCTGCAGGATGTTTCAGCAATTCCAGGAAGGCTCCTCACCTATTTGCACCACTCAGGTGACCCTGAGGACACAGGTAAACCTCTAAGTGGCCTCAAGGACCCTCTCAAAGGATGCAAACGACCAGCTGTCTTCAAGGAGTATCAATCCTTCCCCACCATCCAGAGGAAGACGCCTGGATTTTGCAGAGAAGCGGATCTTCCGCGCTGCATCTCTGTGTGGTCTCCTTTCCTTTACTTACAGTCACTCAGGACATCGTAGGCTTCGGCCAGCTGCTTGAATTTCCCAGGAGCCCAAGGGTCTTTGTTCTTTAATGGATGATATTTCAGAGCCAGCTTCCGATATCTGCAAGTCACACCGAGAGAAGCTGCAAATTTCGTTCCAGGGATCCCAAATGCCCAACATTGCATTCACACAACCGGCTTGGCCAGGTTTGTTAAACTATGTTGGGGCATCGCCTTCATTCGTTCATGCTTTTTTTCTTTTGCATCTTTGCAAGTTTGGGGGTGATTCATGGTGCCAAGCCTTGTGTTACTTCCTGCCCCCCCCCCCCTCCAGCAGTGCTTCACCATCTTGGCAACCTGAAGCAGTGTGGACTTCAACTCCCAGAATCCCCCAGCCAGCCATGCTTTAAAGACAGGGGATTCTGGGAATTGAAGTCCACCAGTCTGAAAACTTGCCAGGATGGGGAAGCATTACTCTAGGAGCAGAGCATCTTGGGAACCTTTAACAACTGGTGGACTTCAACTCCCAGAATCCCCCAGCCAGCCAGGTTTTTAAAGACAGGGGATTCTGGGAATTGGAGTCCACCAGTCTGAAAACTTGCCAGGATGGGGAAGCATTACTCTAGGAGCAGAGCATCTTGGGAACCTTTAACAACTGGTGGACTTCAACTCCCAGAATCCCCCAGCCAGCCATGTTTTTAAAGACAGGGGATTCTGGGAATTGGAGTCCACCAGTCTGAAAACTTGCCAGGATGGGGAAGCATTACTCTAGAAGCAGAGCATCTTGGGAACCTTTAACAACTGGTGGACTTCAACTCCCAGAATCCCCCAGCCAGCCATGTTTTTAAAGACAGGGGATTCTGGGAATTGAAGTCCACCAGTCTGAAAACTTGCCAGGATGGAGAAGCATTACTCTAGAAGCAGAGCATCTTGGGAACCTTTAACAACTGGTGGACTTCAACTCCCAGAATCCCCCAGCCAGCCATGTTTTAAAGACAGGGAATTCTGGGAATTGAAGTCCATAACCCTTAAAAGCTACTAAACTTGGAGTCTGAGGATTCCCCGGGTGAACGCAGCCCCCAAGCGCAGCAATCCTCTTTAAGGCGCGGTTTTGCAAAAGGGGCAAAATCCAGAAAGCCCATCTTGCACGACCAAGGGTCCCCCCCTCAAAGCCCATGTTGCACGGCCAAGGAGGATGGGCACGGCAGTCCCACGCCTCCAACCCCGCTTTCTTCTCACGCCGTCTTGATGTCCGCATCCTTGGCGCTGCGGTTCAGCTCCAGCACCGCGTAGTAATCCTGGCCCATCGCGGCCTGTCTGAGTTTTTTTGGTTCTTGGCTCGGGGCTTCTCCCGTTGCTATGGCTACCGCCGCCGGCCGCCCCGGGGCATGACGGGAGTTGTAGTCTCGCGATCCCCGGGCGAATTCTTTGCCTGCCGCGCGCTCCTCGCTGCTTCCCTGGGGAGCCTGGAGGTGCCGTGGGAGCCCCGTTTTGAGTGGGGGGGGGGCTTGTTCGCCTGGGGCAATGGACCCCCCCCTTCTCCCAGGTCCTTCTCTTTTGGAAGGGGGGGGAATCCCTTGGAAGGGGCGGTTTGCCACCTTTTTTGGGAAGTGGGGGCAGTGGGCAAAACTCCTAGGTTGCAAAAAAAAGACTTTTGCAAAAGATTGGGAAAAGGTTGCCCCCCACACGCCCCCGCAACCCAGAAAGCTGCAAAGTCCAGTGGCCACTTTTGCATTGGATGGGAGACCACTAGGCGATCCCCCCCAGACAGAGAATATAACAGGGTTGGAGGAAGGGACCATGGAGGTCTTCTAGCCCACCCACCCCTTGCTCAAGCAGGAAACTCTATATACCATTCCCTAGGGTTGTGCAATCTTTTCTTCCAAGCCTCCGGCAATGGAGTCCCCGCAACTTCTAGAGGCGAGTAGTTCCACTGATTAATTGTTCTCACCGTCAGGAAATTTTTATTTCTAGATAGCTTCTCTCCTTGATGAGTTTCCCTCCGTTGCTTCTTGTCCGGCCTCTTCAGGGGCTTTGGAAAATAGCTTGATCCCCCTCTTCCTCTGTGGCAGCCCCTCCCTCAAATATTGGAAGATGCTCTCCTGTCTGCCCTGGTCCTTCTCTTCTCTAGACTAGCCAGGCCCAGTTTCTGCAACCGTTCATCGTATGTTTTAGCCTCCAGTCCCCTCATCATCCTGGTTGCTCTTCTCTGCCCTTTTTCTAGAGTCTCAACCTCTTTTTTACATCTCTTCTTTGTGGCAAACCCTGAGATATTGGAAGACTGCTATCCTGTCCCCACTATCCTTCTTTTCCTTAAACTAGACATGTCCTCTGTCCATCCATGATTCACTCAGATGTCTTTCTTTCTTTCTTTCTCTCTTTCTTTCTTTCCTTCTTTCTTTCCTTTTTCTTTCTTTCTTTCCTTCCTTCCTTCTTTCTTTCATTTTTTCCTTCTTTCTTTCCTTTCTCGCATCTTTCTTTCTTTCTTTCTTTCTTTCTTTCTTTCTTTCTTTCTTCCTTTCCTTTCTTTCCTTTCTCTCTTTTCATTTTCTTTCTTTCTTTCTTTCTTTCTTTCTTTCTTTCTTTCTTTTTCTTTCTTTCTTTCTTTCTTTCTTTCTTTCTTTCTTTCTTTCTTTCTTTCTTTCTTTCTTTCTTTCTTTCGCTTTGGAGAATAGCGTGACCCCTTCTTCTTCTCTGTGGCAGCCCCTCCAATATTGGAAGACCGCTATCATGTCTCCCCTGGTCCTTCTCTTCCCTGGACTAGCCAGGCCCAGTTCCTGCAATGTCCATTGTATATTTTAGCCTCCAGTCCCCTAATCATCCTGGTTGCTCTTCTCTTCACTCTTTCTAGAGTCTCAACTTCTTTTTTTACATCGTGGTGACCAAATCTGGATGCAGGATTCAGCGTGTGCCTTACTAAGGCCTTATAATCACAATAACAATAGCGCTTAGACTTATATACCACTTTATAGTGCTTTACTGCCCTCTCTAAGCGATTTATAGAGTGTCAGCCTCTTGTTCTCCCAACAGTCTGAGTCCTTGTTTTACCCACCTCGGAAGGATGGAAGGCTGAGTCCACCTGGAGCCGGTCAGGATCGAACTGCTGACAGTGGGCAGAATTAGCCTGCTATACTATGTTCTCAACCACTGTGCCAACATGGAAGGAAGGAGAATTGGGATGAAGAAGGAAGGGAGGGAGGAAGGGAAGGAGGGAGGGAGGGAGGAAGGAAGGAAGGACGGAAGGAAGGAAGGAAGGAAGGAAGGAAGGAAGGAAGGAAGGAAGGAAGGAAGGAAGGGCAATAGCACTTGGACTTATATACTGCTTTCCAGTGCTTTTCAGCCCTCTCTAAGTGGTTTACAGAGTCAGCCTCTTGCTCCCAACAATTTGGGTCCCCATTGGAAGGACGGAAGGTTGAGTCAACCTGGAGCCAGTCAGGATCGAACTGCTGGCAGTGTGGGCATAGTTAGCCTGCTATACTACATTCTCAACCACTGTGCCAACATGGAACCGTAGAGGGAGGGAGGAAAGGAAAGGAAAGGAAAGGAAAGGAAAGGAAAGGAAAGGAAAG